AGGAATTAAATTCATTTGCAGTATCCACCACTTCTTAATCATGAGACCAAGATGCTTTTTATTTACATAACTAGAGTGGGAAAGGTAGGAAACTAGGTAATTATAATATAGGTGCAACAAAATACAGTTTTCATTTGGGAAGTATCATCCTCAAAAGAACAAAATTCCACCCTTCTATCTGAAAGCCACCGCAACCCATCCACTTCATATCCCAGTCTAAGATTTCAGCAAAGCAGGATATATTAGTATGTGAAGTTCACACTCTTAATTTCCAGGAACTACAAGGAACATTGAGAACCATCACTTCAGCCACGAGAAAGAAAAAAAAACCCAAACGTTTACATTTCTGAAGTCTCAAAAACCTACCAGTTCCACAAGTACCAACTTCAAAAACTAAGCAGCAAGACAGGATGAACAGAAATTAAGATCACTGGGATCCACCAGTGCTATGACCCTCCGTGGGAACACACTAGAACCAATTTAGCTCTGTTTAATTTTGATCTTGTACGCAAAGTTAAAGCTTGTTCTAACATCTTGAGAAGTGACCATGGCTTGTGTTGTCTAAAAAACCTAAAGCACGTATGTGCAAATGCTTCTGGACTAAAGATCTAGCACGTAATCTCCCATGTATGTTCAGGTGGTCCTTTCAGTCCTGTGCACCAGTGGAGTTATGTCTGTTTCTGCTTTGTGACGCCTGCAACAGCAGCATTGCAGGATTTGAGCTGTATCATTGCTGTTAAAACAGAGGCATCATTCTGAAGTCAGATTCTGATCAAAGTTACACTGGAATTCTGACTCGAAACATTGCAGGAACCTAAATACTCTCATGTATCCTACAGATCTTTGTCGGTGGGAGAGGGTAACACAGTAAATTTCAGTGAAGAGGCTCCCTTTCATATAGAAAAATGCTAGTTTCCGAGAGTGAACAGAAAAATAACGGCAAGTCCTTATGATCTAAATCTAGTTCCCAGAGCAAAGGTCACAGCAGAAATGTTTTATTCAGCATAAGAACTTCTGGAATTCATTCAAGGAGAAGAAAAAACGCAACAACAACATGGCTGACATTTTTTTCCCACTGATCTGTTTCTTCCTTTTTAAACTGAGGTACAAGTTTCCATGATTTGGCAAACACCAGTGAATTGTGCCTACCCACAACAATAAACAGATAAACCAAAACAATAGTCTAAGCATCAGTCTCTGGAAGCGTAAAAGGCAAGGAAGTGGGGAAAGCAACAAATAAAGGGGAAAATGCCGTACTGCTGATGGAGTTACATTCATTTGCAACAACTTGTAAGTCCCTGCACTAAGCTAAATTTTGTGCGTTTAGTTCAGTGCAACGTGGGATGGCAGGTCATAATCTCAACTGATTCGAATGCTTCATTAGCCTAGTGAGGTTTGTAGGATGCATCTACAGCGTGGCCAGAAGCATGCAATTATGGCACAGACAGGCATACCAGATGCAGCCACTTAGCTCAGGCTAAAAAGGAAAACAATAAAGTTTCAGTAGCACAGACATCGGTGTATAGCTCTACCCAGTGGCAATGCCTCTTCTTGCTTCTTCACCACCCTTACAGGTAGAGTAGCGAATTTAACTTGTGCCCACTCTTGGTAGGAGTATACCTCCAAGTACTATCCAGAGCTTATTCCATCTTGGACTCTAAACTCCTCTACCTTGCAGCTCCTTTGTTGTTGAGGAAACCTGCTAGCTATGCATGGGCTGCTTGTACAGTAGAGTAGCTTAGCGCTTAGTAACGGGGTGCCCTCCCGAATCCTTTATATTTGAGTAGGCCACTGCATTTGTGGGGATTGCAAAGCAAACACAGAACTTGCTAGACCTAAGCTATACACAGCTCAACCTAAAATGGGTTCCGTCTCTGCTCTTACACCTTGTGATAGTCATCTGCTATAGCTTTGAAGATGTTGGTCTTCTCTGTGCTGTACAACCAAACCGTGTTTTAACCATGTAGGTCCACACACAGAGCTGGAATTACAGTGCAGATGGCATCTCCTGCGTGACAGCCACAACTTTGTCACACGCACTTGCAAGCAGGAGCCACGCATGTGAATTAACCTAGGCTCAAAGGGAGAACCCTAGAACCTTCAGATAACCAAGTTCTTCTCTGGCCTCTGTTTTCCTTCTGTTCTAAATTGAAAGCTCTAGTCCCGTTTCACTTTGCACGCGCTGTTTAGACATGGCTTTTCATAACACAAGTATGGTTTTGTAATCCCTTCTCTCTCCATTTTACATTTTTTTTCACTTCTCTAGAGACATGCTAGAATATAACAGCTGCATTGTTACATGACAAATTTTTACATTTACCTATCATTTCAAACTATGAAAAAACACCTTCATTGCAATCATTATATGTTTTTAAAGAAAACCTGTAGTTCATTTTAAACTAAGAAAAAAAAAACACCACAAAGGCAACACTGAACTGAAAATCTCACTGTATTTATTGGCCTGCATGATTGCAGATAGTTGTGAGCTACATTTCAGAAATTATATTCTGCCTGCTACCAAGTTCTTAAGCATAGATGTTGTCTTCTAAAGAAGCCATATAAAGACCCCCTAAATGAATAAAAACACTGCTGCTAGTTCAAGCTAGTTCAAACACACATGACTCTCCAGCAGAGTCTTCTGCTTGTTTGAAAGATGGAAAGATTAGCCCCATTGAATGTAGCTTGGGACAGTGGACTGTTTCGTTACACTCCTAAGTAGTTGTACTTACTTCCATGGAAATGTCTGAGGATGACAAACTAGACAATTAATTCCTCTGTGCACAGCCATGTACAGCATAACTTTGTTATTATATTTGCATTACATGTGTTGATTAAGGTGTAGCACAGAGGATTATCCCTCACTCCCCTAACTTTGTTTAACAAGGTAAAGCAGTGAAATAAAAATAACTGTACAAAAGAGAGAGTCATTTGCTAGATGCTGCACTACTGATTAGCAGTAGAACAAGAAAAAGATTTAGCTCCGAGTTTCGCTTCTATTCACCACATTGTTCACTAAACCGTGCCACCTCCAGACAGCAGTGCAGACTTGTAAGAATTTCTTTCCTCTCTGGCCTAAATCTGATTGAGTGACTGCCCTTTAAAATCAAGTGAAACAGGTTTATTGGGGCTGTACCCCTTACTTCTCTCATCTACCTTATTATTACTCCTACTGAATTCCAGATTTGAGTTGCAGTTTTGAGATACACACACCAAGATGCAAGGGAGGAACTGACACTCAACAAGAAGCTGCCAGATGAAACCTAGAGAACGCTTCCACGCGAGCAGAATGCCTACAAGGCAGAATGCCTGTTGCTGTTAGCAGGGAGTTAGGAATAAAAGTTCTAGGCTTAGAGCAAGTGAGGAAAGCTTAGGACTCATTGACCACACAGATAACTTGTGATGATGCATGTTTTACACACAGTTGTTTAAAAGAATAAATCTGTTCTTTCTAACAGTGTCAATTCCATTGCATTTTACATCAACAGATCTCAAAGACCCACAGCAAGCATCAGAATCTTCATTTTGCATGAAGATGGACAGCTTGCTCAAGATGACAAATTCCATTAGTGGTAGGAACTACACCCTTCATGGTCTTAACTCATAGATTAATACACTGCCTTATGTCATGCTGCTTTTCCAGCAGCCATACAAGTTTTAAAAAATTCAAACTGGAAAGTTCCCAAATGCAGATTCACACCAAACATCAACACAGCCAAAAATAAGCTAGAAATTTCATAGAAAGTGTCGAGATGGCACATCTAGCACTTCTGCTCCTCGTCACAAAACAGTCCCGCACACCCACATAAACAGCCCGGTTTGCTGGAACTTCCAACTTTGGCCCCAACCACAACTTGTAAGTACAAAACTAAAAGGGAAAACCATGGGGTAGAGGGAGTGGAAGAACCCCATCACATCATTGAAGTTACAAAATTATTTAGATTGGCTCTGTGATGAAAAAAAATGAAGGAAATAATTGTAGATCTGTATTCAAACCAGTTTGACCATTTTGAACGCCAAAACAAAATTCATAAGAAATACTATGACAAATAATGCTTATTAGAATGCAGACAGAACATGCCAGACACATATACACATAAGAACTGAATCCACAATCAATCCACTTCAGCATCAGCTCTCTACTGACCCTTGTACCAGCTGCTTCAGGGAAAAGGAACTCTTTAAACAGTTACTATAGAATAATCGGGGTGGGGAGGTTTCTTCCTGACTTTTCCTTATTTACTGTTCTCCTTCTGGAGATTTTGGTTCTGTATTTCTTTTTGAAACAGCTCTGTCTTCCTGTTTTTCCTTTTTGAATCTTGCTGAACTCCAGATCTCAAACAACACTGAGCCAGTGAGTTCCACAGGCTAGTTTTCTAAGCCTTCATAAATACTCACAATTTTTAACGTGCCAGTTCATGATTTAAAAAAATGCCGCTCTCCCTATTTATGTTATTTTCCTAGAAACTGGCAAGCAGAACCTAGACCCGGATCTGGAACCGACTAATATAAGAAGCTGCTGTTCTACATAAAATTACTCACAATCCCCAAACCATCAATTTTAATCCTGCCTAACAAGTTGCACTTCTGCCTTTACCGCTTCCTTCCTCCCCACATTTCTACAAAAATATTGTTATTTTGTTAAAGAATATTATTGAAGCTGCCACGTTGCTCAAAGCTTTATTTGTCTGAGTAATCCAGTTGGATCGTATCCCTGATGAATAGAAATTATTCCAGATACATAGATAGAATATTTTATCACAATGAAAATGATACACAGAGAATTTAATGTAAGAAATAAACACCAATTTTGTCAAAGTAAGCCCAGATGGACTAAAGCTAACCAACTTTTAGGTGGACATTTTTCTAAAGAATCATGAAGCACAGAGATCCTTGAATAGCAGACGCTGACAGATAACCATCAAGAAAGACCTTCAGCCACCTCAAAGCACACACAACAATTTGGGGTTGCTTTTGTGGGAATATGAGGATTCGTTTCCTACCTGTCAATGATCACAGGGTCAGACGGAGTCTCATTTCTGTTGCCACAACTTTTCTTCTCGCAGCACCGACTAGAGAGAGAGAAAGTAAACCAAACTTAAAAAATTACTGGGACAGTTGATAGCAAAGCAACCTGCTCAAAGTCTCATCTGCAAACGTTCAGGACTCGATATACACCTAGAAAAGCGACAGAGAAAATTCTGGCTGGGCTTTCCAGAAGAGAGAAGAACGAAGGGAACAAGGTGCCCAAATCCTGGCTGACTCCAACTGGAGTTTGGCACTTGGCGTCCCTCAGCCTTTTTTGAAATTCCAAGCCAAAAATGAACAGCAATATGGCCACACTTTGGACTAAGGTGCTATTTAAAGGCTTAATAATGACTTAACAGGTGTCATAATGACATTACAGGCATAAGTATCGTGGCTTACGTATGGTTAAAAGTCCATCAAAAGAAGGTGTTAGAACTGACTATAAGCAATCTACTGAATTGCTATATTCCAATAACTGATTTGTTGATTATTAAGTATCTAGTAAGCTCTAAGTCTCATACACCCACAGAAAAATTCAACACTATAGTAGCACCAATTGAAAAAAACAGAAACTGAATATACTTAGATCCCACCAAGGATCTGAAGAGCTATTTTTTCAGCTTGGCATTTCGTCTCCAAATCCCTTTGCAATTGTTTCAGTGATGATAAGCCCTTAAAATTAAGCATGCATTTATACACATTTTATACTGTGTGGCCACCAACATGATTTTATAGAAATTAGAACTCTCTCTGATGAGCTCACAACATAAAATAAATATATTTATCTGACTTGGTAAGAAAATGCAAGATAACGCTATTGCCCTCAGGAGCTTGCAGTAAGGTTCATACCGCAGAAAGACATCTGTGTACATGCACACATAGGCAACGACAACCGTGTGTGTGTGTGTGTGCATGCATGCATGGGTGTGGACATATATACACATATATCAGGAGACAAAGAATACAGCCTACACTCGGGGATTATTTGATGTCCTTCACTGCCAGTGAATTGAACTTTCTTCAGGAAAGAAGAACAGAACCACCGTACTTCCTTTCCCCATTTTTAATAACAACCACCAAACAAAAAAAGGAATTTGATTTCCACTGACTGACATGGGTGATGCTCCTTGCATATACACCAGCTGAGTACCAGAAGTTTAACAGACTTTAAAAAAAACAGTCCTTGCTCTGAAATTCCCAATTTTAAAAATTTGCAGCAACATAGAAGTCTGTCAGAAGATTTAAGCTGTCTTGATGCTCAGATACTTTGTTCCACCAAAAGCTAACATAGGCGGTGGAGGATGGAGGCATCCAAAACTTTTAAGTAGACTGTATCAGAAGTCCCATATGCCTCAGAAATCACCAGATCAGATTCTGCCTTTCCACAAATGTCTTTCCAAATCATGTTTTTCACATTCTGCTGAGGTTGTTCAAATTTGCACATATGGAATCAAGAAATTGTTTTCTTTTCTGTACAGTGGTATAATAGGTGCTGAATACATTTGGAAAATTCTCAAGTCAGTCTGAATCCCACTGTTTTCCAATTGTGGAGCAATTCTAAGCAGAGGAATTAAAAAAAATTAAATAAAATGCTTGAATCCACTGAAAGCAGTACAAAATATGAAAGAGTAGCTTTTTTTTCTTAATACGCCTAATATCAACTATAAATACCTAAAATAAGCATTTAGACAAAAAACCTCTTTCAGATTTCAAATGCATGCATTTTCTCCTTAAGTTACAGTGTGTGCCAGGAACTTCCCGTTTGCAAGCTGAAATTGCCCAGCAAGATGAGATACAACTAGCAGATCTATTTGAATAGCAGCTCTAACTGTTTCAACGTTTCTACATTCCCTTTGCCTCAAACCTGCACTTATTCATCAATGCTAGTCCTTTTAAAATAAAAGGATACTCTAAATATTTAAAAATCCCTGGGGCAGACCCTCTAGCTGCTGTAAATTGTCATAGCTCCATCGACTTCAGTGAAGCTATGGTAATTCACACTAGCTAAGAATATTCCCACTCCCTCCTTCTCCCAACTTTAAGCACATCTTTATGCATTTCACTGACTAATGATTGTTTATAAAGAATTGCATATTTTTTTACTAAAAGTCAAGTTGTGAGATATTTTCTAAAGAAGAAAAAAAAACCTCGGAAGTGTATATAAATTTGGCATGTACTTCTGACATGTCCAATATAACAATGCATTGGAAATAACACCAAGAATAAATGCCCTGCTGGTTTACATGCCACTATAATAAAACAACAAAAGGAATTCAATTTTTAAGATAGTTGTGCACTGTTTTGTTGTTGGTTTTGTTTTGGGGTTTGTTTTTTTTACAGCTAGCTGATACAGCAGTCATTTCCTCTCTTTGCAATAATACTAAATGAGATATCCTTTAGTCGTGTAATTTATGCAGATAGTCATAAAAAAATATTTCTGATTGCACTACACCACAGTAATGTTCAAGCAGAATACACTAGCAGTACCTCCACCACATCTCATCAGCTCCCATACTCTTCCCAGAGAGGCTGCCATTTCTTGGCATAGGAAGTGTTTTAGAACGAATTATGCGAGATTGGAGTACAATGTCGCTGGGTTCTGAAATAAATGCATCTTGCTTTACTTTAGTTTGCACAGTTATCACAGTTAGGAACTTTACATTTGTAATGCTTAAAAATTTTCCTTCTGAAACTGTGGCTTACAGCTTAAGTTGTCCAAATATTTTACAAATATCTACATTCTTATTACACTCCAGTAACAGATTTTTGTTAGAATGCTAGATGTTTTCCCCTTTGACCGTGATACTTTTGGAGCCCAGACATATGCAAAGAGAATTCTTAGGGAACACAGTCACTCACTTCCAGTGAATACCTAGTTCACACGTAAATCAGAATGCTTTTGAAGAGTGAGGCAAAAGTACCTCCCAAATCTTTAAACCCCATTTCCAAGTATTTCATCACAGTATCCAAGCACTAACATTTCCACTGGGTTTGTTTTACAAGTGTTGACTGTAACAGAATTAACTTGTTCCAATTTAAGTCAATGGCAAAAATCTCAAACTCTGGTGGTTCAGGATTAAGCCCATAATATTCTCTTAAAGCAAATTATTGGCAGGACTTCACCAATATTTACACTTCTGCTACAATGTTGTGCTAGGAACACACTTTTAGAGATGCTTATTTGCTTAAAACAAGAATATCAAATGCCGAAGACTTCTGTTTTCCACACATTTTCTTACTATATTTTCCCCTCTAACTAGATCTACGTGGGAGAAAATAATAGTTCACATTATGAACAGTCCTGAAAAAAACTAAAAACAAATACGGAAACCAAAAAGCTACCACAGACAACACCAGATCTACAAACTGAATACTCCAGAAGGCTCATGTCAAAGGCAAACTCGCATCCGTTCCCTCCTCACACTTGACTAAAATGGTTTTAAAATTCAGTCCTCAACTTCCCTCCCCTCACCCCCCCCCCCAAAAAAAAAAAAAAAACTCTAATTTCAAACTCAAATAAGCGCACAGCATGGTGGCCTTTGTTTTGTTTTCTTCTCCCCAACTCCTCCCTGCAATTGCATAACAAAAGTGTCTAAATTCACACCATCTGGCCGATAAAGACACAGGCCCCAGTGGCCGCCTGGCCCAGCTGATTAGAGCTCCTGTCTAGTCTGAGCCTTGTGGCGAAAGTCACAGCTGTGGGGCTTGCTTGCACTCAATACAACTCTGTTATTAGCCAGCTGTAGGCCCTGAGACTACTTCTGTTCAAATTATAATACCTTTTAACCCTCTGAGCATTGAGGGCATAGGGGGTTGCTGGCAGCAGCATAACAACTAGTTTCCTCTTAGTCGATAATTGGAAGAAAGGAAGAAGAGAAAAAAAGTTATTCCAGGAGAGGAGACTGTTTACCTTGATTTGCAACCATTGGGGGCAAAGACTGTGTATTTAAGATACATCCACCTAATAGGAACAGTTCCCATTAGGCCATAATAACCCAAACGAAAAATTTCAGATCTGCAAATAAATAAATACAGCCTCTCACCGAAAGCACTAATTATTGAGAGTTGAGAGTTTAACTTTCAATTGGTATGACAGATTGTTGTAGCCGTATCAATATTTAGACAACTTTCCTGCTAAGCATGCATCTGTCACCGAGTGGAAGATGCAGAGTTTCAGATGCACTTGTCTCTATACAGCAAGAATATCTGCGTGTGCGATAACATACAAAAAAATACCCAAAAAATGTCTTCCTTCAACTAGCGATGATTGGAAGAAGAGGAGCAGAAAGACAGGCAGACCCTTCTTTTTAAAAACAGTAGGCATCAATTCGGACAGCAGAGTGGGTACAGTGCATTAAATTTTTATATACTGTTACTAATGCAAACTAAACTAGAGGCTTTAAAAATTGATGCTGCCACTTAAGCAGCACACAATGAGGAAGATTCGATTATTGTACTTAAAAGAAATAAAATAAAATGTCAAGTTTAACTAGAGTTGGATCCATTCCCTTGGCATTATTCAAAGTGATATGTGCAGTGCCTCTTCGGAATATGCAGCATCCTGTTCAGAGATACTTTGGGAAAACACGACATTTAAAATCAAATGTCTCAATTAGGTTACAGAGCGCCTTTGATTTTGTTCACTAATCTCTGTTTTACATGGAAAGGATGTCCCCGAGTTGTAATTCTTCCTTAGCTAATCTATCAAGCAGGAGAGTTCAGTATAATCAGAATAATGGTTTACATTTGTAGAACACTACCTTAAATCAAGCACGGAATATGTTTATAGGCATCAGTGGAAGCCAGGTATGTAAAAGCTGAACAGAATGTTTGATACTACAAAGGCATTAGACAGGAAGCAGGGGAAATTAATTTTATTTTAAAGAAGTACATTTGGATGGGGAGCTGCTGGTGTTTGCTGAAGCATGTTAACTTCCAAAATAGAACTGCCCTCTATACAGGAGGAGTGGAGAATGATGAAGTATGCTGTTACTTTGTTATCACAAACCAGGACCCAACTGCATAGCAATTCAAAGATTTTTCTTCTCTAATCTTCACGTAGTTATAGCAAAGACTTTCAACAATGTGGATAACATATACATTTAAGTACATACACAAGTTCTAGATGTGCCAGAAAGGAACATATATACCTTTCATTGTTCTACTACACCTACATGTCCTCTTAAAGTGCTCCGTATGCATCTCTCATGCATGATATACACTGCGTTTGTGCATACATACATGAATGTTGGCCAAAAGTAACAATGATAATTTTCTTCATTAATGAGAGCAAAGCACAACAGATAAACACTATACACTTACTTGATTCTTATTATATTCAAAAAGTAAGAGTAGCTGACATAATTGTTAAGCACTGAAACAGAGACTTTCCCTTGACAAGGCATCTGTCCAAATAAGCTGCTCGTACTACTATATTAACTTAAAAGGCTACTTTAAAATAAACAAATACATCAAGTAGCAAACTACAACATTAAAAGCAGCAACGTTCAGTCCAACAGCTTAACCCCCTCCCACTAACACAATAAATCACAAACTGTGTTTAATAAAGGTTAAGATTGGTTTTGCCTTTCATCTTATGAAAGAACATTCTATGCACAATTTAACACATTTTAATATAAGAACATTGACTGTTTGCATTGTTATATGTATTGAAAAAAATTTAATTACACGAGAACAGGAAAAGTAATAAGTTACCATGGAAGCACGATGCACATACATAAGGTACATGTAACTTCAGACTTATACAAATGTTATTAAAAACATCCTCAACTCCTTTTACCCTCTAATTTATATCTTTACTTGCTAAAAATAGTGTCTTTTTTAATTAAAAGGTGGAAGTCCCCTAAATATTGCCTACATGGTATAGAAAAGAAGGATTTGTGTTTGGTTCAAGAGGCTTCTTTTTTAGCTGGGATAGAACTAAGCAAAATTAAAGAACACTAATGATGATAATTTAATTAAGAAAATTAAAATATTTCACCAGAGAAAATTACATGAAGAATACCTTTTAGTTTCCAGGTAAAAAGCTGTAAGTTAAACTGCGCATTCTCAAAAGGTGAACAGGGATTTTGTAAGAAATAAGCATATAAAAAGTCTCACTTTAAACAACACATACAAAGGCCTAGTTTAAACAAAAATAGCACAGCTCAGAATGTGGACCTAGGATTACTAAATCTCTTGCAGTAAAAAAAAAAAAAAAACAAAAAAAAAAACACCCACCGAAACCCCAAAAACCAACAAAACAAACCCCCAAATTAGCCACACGTACAAAGAAAGTCTTCCTACACAAAGAATCTCTCTGACCCAACAACACAACAACAAAACAAACAAACAAAAAAAAAATCAAACCCTACCTACAGCTTCATCAGAAAGGCCATTTTGGCACCCATGGAAACAAACTTTGCAAATGATATGCCGTTAATAACATTATCTTACCTGCACATGACTTCATGGGTAAGCAAAACTCTGCACATTTCAGGATTCTTGTTCTGTCCTTCATAAGTTATGGGCTACAATAATTAAGAAAAGGGGTAAGCAAGTAGCGTTAGAGCATTACTTATCTGTCATAATATTCAGAACTGAGGTGAAGGCTTTTTACCATTGCTCATCATTGCTTGCAAATAAATACCTTCCCCCAAAGTCTTTTTGAGCGGGGAAAGAAGCTTATACATAAATATTGATAAAAAGTGGATAAAAACCTACAATCCATACAGGGGGGAAAAAAGACACTTAAGAGCATTACTTTTCAACTGGTCTCAAATATAAGGTCTGCAGTACAGACGAACAAGAGACAAAAACGAACCAGAGAAGAGAAAATATGCAGGGCAACATTAAGAAAAAAGGAAGGATGAGGTGGGACAGAGTAGCACGGCACATATTAGCTATGCTCACCTGCTTAGTGACTGAATCGATGAGTCTAACATACAGATCCTGTTCAGTCCTGACACCTAGAGCGAGACAGAAGAGTAATAAATAATGCTGTTACGTGCACCTTTATCTGAACATCAGAACAAAACCATTTATTTTCATCTTGTGCCTTATTAAACCTCCTCAGAAAGACCATTTAGTTATGCTTCCTCTAGCGTTTCCCAAGCCCGTCCACACCAGGTAAACTGAAGGTAAACATCCCTACACTGAAGGGGCATCATGCAATGGAATCTCTGTGTATTTTGGAAATCATACTGACAGCACCTACAAATCTTGCCCCACTTTACAACCTACAAAAGGTGACTGGAAAGGGGACTCACCATTGCTATAAAGGAGTTGGAGTTTGTAATGTGTGCCATTGTTTGTCTTTTCATTGCCTTGCTCCTGAAAGAGAGAATTAAAACAAAAAAAAAATTATTCCAGAACTTACACTTGGCACATTTAAAATGCAAAAGCTGATAATCATGATGGAAGTGACAACAAAGTTCATTAAAATTCTGAGAGGTGAATCCACTGATTGGGATATATTAACCTTCCGAGTGACCCAGGACAAACTACAAAATACTGCTGACATCTTTTCCTGTAGGAGTTCAAGAACTTCTTTTCCTCTCTTGTTTGCTATTATGCTCTCAACTTTTTCAAGGCAATACACTGAGACAAATTTGTACCTTTCAAGTCAGTTAATATAAAGCAGATTGATAGTGGGAAAGCTCAGTGGGTTTTGGTTTTAATGTTTTCTTTACTTCGCAGTAGTGTTATTTTGACTCGTTATTTATTTCCTGAAGGTTGTGTTACACGGAAGTTTCTTGCATGTTTTCACTGTAATTTCCTAGGAGTTAATTATTTTTGAGCATTCTTCATAATTAAAAAAAAATCTTGTCCATGACTAAGAAAATAATTGTGAAAACATTGTGAAGTGGTCAACACATGGATTTAAAATCCAAAAGCAAATGCTTTTCAAGTCCCGCCATTTACTTTGGGGTCTTAAGAAATACAAATAATCAAGCTCAACAGATAATGATGCACTACAGGCCAGATTCTACTTCTGTTAGGGTAATAATGACGCCTGGCAGATCAGGTAGGTAAAAAAAAAAAAAAAAAGGCACTTTTTTCCCCTATGAAATATTTTTTAGCGGGTGTATGAAACTCCCATTGTCTTCCCGATACAGCAGAGGCTTGCAAGCCTTTTTATCTACAGCAGCACACAGACGGCAACAGCTCTACCAAAGCACCTGAACCCTTGACCAAGGGCTGGTTGTATTTTGTTAGGAACATCAGGCAGTAAAAGTTAGCAGCTTGATGAGGACGAAGAAAAGATCAAATTTGGAGAGGAAAAGAGGAAGAAGAAAGGTAACAAGCCTTACTTTATCATTTTCTACAAAGTCCACAAAAGCTGTCCTCTCTATTTCCACCGGCTGCCCCTGTCTGTCGTAGAGAGCCAGAACAAAGTGAAAGAAATTGGATTTCCTCAAGTTGGAGGGTGGCTGCTTTTCAAAGTGAGCTCTGGACAAAGCTACTCCGCTGTAGAGGAAACATACGGGATGGGGTGTGGGGGGAGAGACAAAGACATTACCAGGTTGTGCAGCAGTAACAGCAAAACAACAGAAAAGGCAGAACGCGTTCAGAGGAAAGCCGGGAATCGTCCACCTTGTCCGAGCGCCAGGCGGGGTTACGAACAGTCGCTTGTCACCCCCGACTGCGGCCTCGGCGCTCCCCGAGATCTTTATAGCTATGCTCCGAGGACAAGAATAATTTCAGACCCCAAACGTTAAGCGATCGGTTATTGCTAAACGCAGGAAGTGTTTTTCTTCCTCCTCTACCTATTTTCTCGTTGCCTGTCACACTCCTGTCTGGAATGCAACGCGCAGGGTGGGAAGTAGATGTAACATATCAGAGAGTCTGGAAGTGCTATCCATACATCCCAGCATCGCTCACTTTTCCTGTAGAAGACGATAAGCGACCTTGAAATATTTCCTACTTGAGGGCACCTATATTTTAGGTAAAAGCCAACTAGTTTCAAGAAGAGCATCCACTTTCCTCAGCATGAAGTTTGTCAATGTAGTCTTTAGTCACTGACCTATTTGAAACGATGCCTGGCTCTTCAGTTTGTGATTTAAATTAAAAGAATTTAGACTCCAGTTAATTAGCCCTTGCCCAAATCCTGTCCCTGACTGCAGAAAATGCAGTGACATTTCCCACACATTTCCCAGCTTGGAAAGATTTAAATGCTTTTGCGTATCCACACCATCCCTACCTGCGGCTACACTTCTCAGTGAAACTAGTTGTAGCTCCCTCTCCCTAATGCCAATTTCTACCTACTGCAGAGAAAAGAGGTGCACATGAGCACCTCCATATTACTTGACAGACAGATTAAGTCTATCTGCCAGACAAGTTAGGAGTCAGAACAACTTCGGGTTTCAGTCCCCAAAATAGATCCAACTACGTTGGCAAAAAGTGTCGGACTCTTTCAGAGAACTACAGATGCTTCTCTGTGCTTTGCATTGCCAGATAAGTGCAGTGTGAACTCACCACATCCGCCACAACTGCACCTAGTTTGCGGCTTCCTCTCATTCTGCATGCAAGAACTCGGATTTCTAGGTTTGTTACGGATCTCCGGAAAAAACCTGGCGATGCCACCACGCAGCACAGTGCGACTGCATCTCCACCGCTCCCGCGAATTAGAGGCTTCTTAGGAGCCGTTTCCTTTTACTTTCGGTTTCCTCAGGAAAAAACCACCCCCCCCCGCCTTGTATTTATTAAACCGTCTATCGACATTCATAAAACTCTGATAACTCCTCCCATAGCGCTTGGAAAACCTTGCTAACGGATCAGGCCGTGGGTGGGGGCACGGACATACTATTTCTATAATGTCCCTGTTTCATATGAAGTCCCATCTGCTGTTACATGCCCTTCACCTTGTCTCTATACTACATAAACCCCAACTTTTCCCCAGGACCACTTTAGCCTTCCCTCTCCCCGACGGTACTACTTTTTCTTGCTTGCTTGCTTGCTTGTTTCTGAGGTTTTTTTAAGGCATCTGGAGAGCAAGGAGAAAAGAAAATGTTTTACCTAAAAGGGTTTTTCATCATCTTACCGCTAACGAGAGGAGACTGGAATAACGGTCCTGTGCCGACTTGGCCGGGAAGAGAAAATAAAAAGGGAGGGGGAGCTAACCCGCCCAAACAAGTAAAACCCGCACGGTCGAGCCCCGGTGTTTGGGATCGGCGGAGGTCTCCCGCCCGCGCAGGCAGGTGCTGCCCACAGCCAAGCGCGAGCTCTGCGGGGGGCTGAGCAGGAGCCTGCGGGCTGCCCGCCCCCCACTCCGCCAGCTCCCCTTCCAGTGAAAGCACGCTCTGGGCGCTGCCTGCCTGTCCCGGCCAGCTAGCAGCCTGGAACCCGCGGGTGAAGATTTCCCCGACGCCCACGGTAGCTACAGAGCCACTGGAATTAAGCAAAACAAGATGGGCCGGGGGAGGCGGGGGAAGTGATCTACATTGAGGTTAATTCTAACTTTGGTCCACTCCTATTCGGCTGTCTGACCCAGAAAGTGGGAAGGAGTAGTCTGTATCGCTAGGTACAACAAATCTACCAAACCCCCCCCCCACCTCCTTTGCGCAGAAAAAGAAAGAATGATCCGATCTCTCTGTCATCTGATCCCCGCACTGGATTTCAGGAGTCCTGATGCTCTCCCTTTTTGGAGCGCTTCTCCCTAGCTCTAGCTGTACTACCTTGGAATTTTCACTGACTAGAGGAGACCGGGAGGGGGACAGAAAGCGAGAAAGTAAATTTAATATCAAATGCAAACAACAACAGGGAGAAAACAAAAGGCTTGCTTAAAAAAAAAAAAAAAAAAAAAAAAAAGCAGGGGAGAAATAGTCACGGTTACCTTTGTGCTGCTACGTTTGCATCCACAACCCCAACGTTTCTGACCCAGGACCTGACGGAATCCATTTCAGAACCTAGAGATTTATCTTTCAGAATTAGTCCTCTCCCTAAAGTATCTTGAATCCCAAACATTTAAAAAGTCTATTCCAACTAGCAACAGTTTCCTTTTGGGGGATAAGGGAGGAGAAAAGAAAAAAAAAAAAAAGACGCAGCCTTTGACACACACAAATCCCGGGAAAGTGGAGAAGTTCAGCTTTAAAACCAACTTCTTCTGCTTTAAAATGCTACGTGTTTTTTAGTGCCTTCAAACAGGGAAAAAAGTTTTTCCTCTTGCAAAGTAAAAGTTATGCTGATTCAGTCTTGCCTGGTATCATCATCCTTCAAACGCCGGAGAGGAAGCTGCATCCACAAACTGATCGCTGTTAACAAGGATCACCTGTTTCTCAACAGACACAGGGAGAAGGATTGATTGCTGCCTAATCCAGGGGGGTGGAAAAAAAAAAAAAAAAGGAAGAGGGAAAAATTGTAAAAGAAAGGAAGAAATGGAGCTAAAGAGAGTCTGGTTACACGCTACGCCCGGGAAGAGGCGATCCTTCCCAGCGCGGTCACCATGAATGGGTTACAGCAACGGGAGCAGACATACCGGGAAGGGGGAGGAGCCCGCTCCCAAATAAGGGCGTCACATTTGCATAGCCTCCCCCGATTGGAGGGCTGCGGACGCTCCCGCAGCCGCCCCGCGCTCGCTTCAAAAAAAAACGGGCAGCCTTCACGTCGCGATCGGTACCGTAGCCTGGCAGCCCCACACCAAGCGGTCCTGCCACGCCACAGTCGAACCGTGCCAACAGCAGCAATCTCTGTAAACCCGTTCCGTGCCGCAGTGATAGGGCAATCGCACAGGCAGTTGGCTGCTTTGCTTCCAGGCGCGATATTTAAAAAGAAGCGCTGAGAGGGAACGAGCTGGCTGGCGGTCGCGATGCCTGCGGGGCTTCGGATGCAGAGACTGCCTGCGAGAGCCAGGGAGCGAGACTGCGGCGCACCCAGGGGACCCCGAAGTCCTCCCGACGCGCGAGCTGTCAGGTCTAGCTTTAAAACTTTTTAGAACACCCTACGCAGGCAAAATTTCCCATCAAAGGAAGCTGGAGCTCTCCCCAGACCAGCTCGCTGGGAAGCAGGACGATACTAGCGTCTGCAATTCTTTTAAATCTTTTTTTAAACCGCTCTGCCCTGGTGATACTTCCCCCCTGCCCCTTTTGTATTCTGATCTGTGTATAGATCTGCCTCTGAAATCTATGTAACACCAACGCGAAAACAGATTTCAAGACAATGAATGCAAATCTGTGCTCAGAGACCATCTGCCAGATGAGGGAATCAGATGTTCGGTAGTTAAAGGGACAGCGCAAGGATTTCCGTGACTCATTATGTGCAGCTCCTCTCTTTAACCTGCTGTATTATTTTTTTTAAACGAGATAGAAATACAATTTCCATTTCAGAATAAATCCTAACTCCTTCCATCCACGTTCAGCTGTATTTCAAAAAGCCACCTTTCTATTAAATGCCAGATTATTTTCATGGAGTTTCATGCAGTTCTTTCCAGAAAAATCGGAAATTAAAATCTTCCCATAAAACTTTCACAAAAATGTATCCTTAATTCAGGCACGATTGAGCACAAAGCCAGGACTCAGAATTATTCAGTCTACAGAAGTGACAGACATGGTATTAGATGAACTAATACATCTGACACAATCTTTGTTCAAGGAAATTTACCATGCTGACCCATCTCCCCAAATTGATAAATATGCAGTGAGTGATTTCGCCAGGTTAGCAAAAGGCGAGGCTGGCGTTCTTTTAACGTTACAGAAAAGCAACAGCAGTTTGACGGTGCTACGGAGTGGAGGCCAACCTTTCAAGACACTATCTTAGCGTCTTTGAGATGCAATTTGTTAATCTAAGAAACCCAATCCAACCAAACAGGACAAGATATTCAAACAAAAAAAAGTGAGAAAAGAATAACACATGATGTAAATGTACAGACGATGGTAAGGCATATCATGGCGATGTACTGGTTTTGTGGGGTTTTTTTGGGTTTTTTTTACCATTTCACAATAAGCATGGGTACATTTCATCGAATAAAAGCCCTCTCTGTACTAAGGTCATTTTTGACAATGTCACTCTGGCCGTTTCTGCATACATTCTTAAATCTGGGGCAGGGACGTAAGGGGAGGAGGTAGGATTCCCACTCGATCTAACCTTGGCCGACGTGTTCCTAAGGAGAAAATGTTTCCTAATAACCGAAGACCCTCTCTCCTAATGATCAAGCCGAGCCCGTCCCTGTCAGGCGCTAAGGGGAGTCCGGTCGGATCCAACCCAGACGCTTGTTCAGTTCCAGCCTTGTCGCTTCAGAAACCCCGGTGCGGGACCATGCCCGCTTCAGGAACAATGGGGACTCGTGTGCCGCGGCCCCCGGGGAGCCTTGCTTTTAGGGATTCATGGCGGGTCAGAGGGCAGCGGCGCAGGTCAGAGGAGATGCACTCTCTTCGCCCCAAACAGCTGCCACCA